CTAAAGACAGAAAACATTATGATGTAGATAACATGACTCCTCAGACAAGTGGAACCATTCAGACAGTCAAGGAAAAATGTGATCACATTTGCACAAGCAGATTGGATTCTCAAAGAACTGAAGTCTGCATAATAAGTATGCAACCACATATTAACCTAAGGACCTTATCAGTTTGCCTAAAGTTTCTATGAAATAGTTGGCTGATTCACTTTTTCTAGAGGATACCCCAAAGCTTACTTGAACTGTGGATGCTACAGCATCTGCACAAATGGCACCATAAATGAGAACTAAAAAACACACGTTTCTAGTAAATTTATACAAATTAATAATGCACAAAACCAAAATAAACCAAAAAAGTAAATGACAATGAATCAAAATGAAATTCCCCATTTGTCTGTCACAAATTCTTGGTCCCTCAATTTTCATAGTATTTTCCTAGTCTCCCCAGTTTCTCAAATCATTCTTATTTTAGCCTCAAACTTTTTGTGTGCTGTATCCAAGCACTCTTTGTACCTTGCCCTTTCTTATTATATTAGTGTAGTGTGTTCCAAATTCTCACTGTTAGCACTCTAGTCCAGAAGTTCATGTCTGAATGCCTGCATTTTCCCACCATCTCCTAACGGGCTTTCTGGAAGATCTCCCATCCTCCCATACATCCTATTTATTGCTGCTAGGTTAATATTTTTCACATGCCAATTTCACTAGATCCTCTGGCTGAAGAACATGCAGTGGCTCCCTACTGCCTGCTGGATGGAATCCACATTCCGGAACTGTGTGTCTGAGGCCCTCATTTATTGGCCCTGGGTCACCTCTAGATGGAGAAGCCAGGCAGCCCAGGGGGAAAAGCTTGGTTTTGGTGTTGGAGAATCTTGCTTTTAAATCCCAGCTCTGCCATTTACTTTTTATGAGGCTTTGAACAAGTTGCTTAAATTCCCTGAGCTTCAGTAAACTCACTTGAAAAATGAGAATAATAAAATCTATCTTGCTCGGTTATTATGAAAATTCAATATAATGCCTAACACAGTAGGTTGGCACAGCGCATGTATACTCTCCTCCCTTTGTTCACATGAGTCCCCAGACTAGAATGCCCGCCCCCCACCCTCTACTCCTCAAAAGTCCTAATAACATGTTAGCAAAATGGGAGCAGCTGTGCAGGATACATTTGGGGTCATGGGGCCTCTCTAACAAACCTCAAATGGCTCTTTCTCCCACATTTGTTTTTAAGAATAGAGGTGGAAATCCTTTACTGGAAGGTTATTTTCTGTCAAAACCAGTCCTTATTCACGATCCCACATCTCCAAATTCCCATGGGCAATATAATGCTGACTCCTAATTCCCATTTATTCACGAAACCAACCACAGTTAATTGAGTGTCTCTCAAATGTCAGACGCTGAGTAAGGTGCTGAAGACACACCTGTGATCTTGCCCTGTAGAGATTATAGGTACCAATAAAGAGGCTAAGTACGATAATGAGAAAAGTATAGTCTGCTCAGGGAGCAGAAGTGGCCAAATTTAGGTCAGAGGATAAGGCAAGGCCACCTCAAAGAAGGTTATTTAAACTAAAATTTGACCTATGAAGAGGAATAAGATTGATGGGATTGGTTGGGAGAAAGACCTCAGTGGGTGGAGACAGAGCTTTCTGAGCACAGAAACAGTACGTGTAAAGGATCAGGGGACCCAGCCCAGACCACGAAAGGAATTAGAAGAAGTTCCATCCCTGAAGCTTGGGTTGGGGTGGGGAGTGTGGGCAAGTACAAAAGGTACCTCTTACGGAGACTCCCTTGAGCCAGGAAATGAACTTGCCCCTACTCAGAAGAGCAAGAGAAAACAAGATTATAGATTTGAAATCCAGGATTTTACACAGCCTGGGTTTTTGTGGCTGTTAAACTTGCATATGGTTTTGCGGGACTTGGCACGCACTTGATTGTGATGCGTCACATTCTAAGCACATAAAGTGTGGTGTGAAAAATGGCAGATGAGTCCGTGGACTTGACCTTTCTCAACGGATATTGGGTAGGGCTGTTTGAAGCAGCAACGTATGGTAAAAAAGAAGGTACGTCACGCATCAACTACTAGATAACAACAACAGCAACAGCAAAACCAGGAGAGAGGGGAAGGGAGGGTGGCTTCCTCGGGCAGTGCCAGGGAATAGTCGAAACAAGCACAGGGATCCAAGGAGATCGCTTGTGATTTCAAAGGAGAATGGCCTAGATTTTATTTCTAGAGCTGTTCTCTCAGAACCCTGTTAAAGGCAGAACGCAGGGTGGTCTCAATTGTGTCATGTGCCCTGGTCCCCAGATGGAGTCGGGGGGTGGGGGGTGCATGTCGCAACAATCACGGGCTCAGGAGTCACAGGTGCTCGACCGTGAATCTGTTTTCTTCCATTCACTACATGTGTGACTTGGAACAATTTGCACAGTTTCTCAGAATCTCAGTCTTCCCAACTTTCAAAACACAGAGACAATTACTACCTATGAGGGTGTTTTTGAGGAGTAAAAAAGGAGTAGGTACGAAAGGTACCTGGAATCGTCTATCCCTTGGCATAGCGTAGACACTGAGTAAGAGGGGGCTCTTACTAAGATGCTATTGGCTCTGTTGCCTTTCATATCAGGCTACATAAGAAAGTGTCAGTGACAGGGCTTGTGTTTCCTCAAGATTAAGGAATACGGAAGGTAGAATGAGAAGTCTCTGCTCATTAAGCTTAGGTGCTTTGGGAGCATGAATAATGAATCTGAATTCTTTGAGTGGCAGAAAGTAAATAAATCATCTTAGCTTGAGGGTATGTGCTTGGCCCTTATTTCGCAGTTGATATTCACACAGATAACAGGAACATGCTAATTAAGTGTTCAGTGAGTAGCCTTTTTCCTGTCACAACAAACATATAATTAAGATGTCAGGTTATATGTGTGTGTGAGAGAGAGAGAAAAAGAGGGAGAGAGGGAGAGAATAAATTCCTCTATGGAAGGTCCTTCTGTTACATACCATTAACTTAATCCTATAGTCCCCTGAGATAACAGCAAGTTTATTCTCCACTGGATGTTGCTAATCTAACTATGTTCAGGTGCATGACTTGCAACCTGAATCCTGCTGTCAGTGTTGGCATGAAAGCAATTCAGGACAGAGTACTTGAGTAATGTTTTGAAGCTCTATCCTTTTCCTCTATATCTAGTCTGCCACCTGTGGAAGCATGAGGTCCCTAACACCTAAAATAGGTAATTCATTGCTCCTCTAAGAGATGCAAAAGCCAAATAAGCTGATGGAACCCAATATGTAGCATGTGAGGTTCAGAAGGACTTGCTTTAGATTCTGTGAAGACAGAGGCAGCACCCAGAACTTATCATTTGCCACAGCTAGCCAAAAGCAAGGGCCTAAAATAATCCTAACCAAGAAAGAGAAATTTTTATTAACCTTAATTCCTCTTAAGAAGGAAGCTGTATTTGTTTAGGACAACTCCTTATAAGAGAAGGCGAGACCACAGCCCAGGTTGCCTTAATTTGGGTAAAAGTATTCATATTAGGTGAGATGAAGAATGAACATACCCCAGGTGGGAATAAGAAAAGAGAGAAAAAAGAAGAGAGTGGGCAACTGCACACTTTGCCATGTGACTTTCTTGAGAATCCCCTAAAACTTTGATAAAGTTGTTAAAACTCACCAAATTCTTACAAAAAATATATTTTTATGGAACTCCATGAGGAGCTTTGTACCATGTTTGGTACATTTTGCTTAGGTACAAAAATGGTGTGAAGCTAAAGCATTAAGCTTGGGAACAGGAGGAGCAGAGAAGCAGACAGATGAGTGTGCTTGTTCCTAGGCTCTGAAATTGGATTCCAGTACAGTTTAAGCAAGTCTTTAACAGATAGGTGCCAGTGCCTAGGGGCATGTGGGTAACACAGATTTTTGATGAGTGGCCAGTGGTTGTAAACTTATCATCTAAAACTTTGGTCTACAAACACAGTGCAGCACTTACTTTGTATTTATAAAGTTGCAGGTGTTACAGCCCTGTTGCTTGAGTGGTGGGCATGTACAAGTCGTTTCAAAAGATGAGTGTCACCGAAAAAGAATTTTTCTGGCCTATAAGCCATTCCTAAGTACTTTTCCCTTAATTGATTAAGGATATCCATTGCTGATCTTCACTATACCACAAAGAAACTCAAGCTGTCCTGAGACCAACAGTCAACTCCACTGGGATTAGTGGTGAGGGTTCCTCCTTGGAAAAGTCTTTACTCATTCACTATTCAACATCATGGTTTTCAATATGTTTCAGGCCATGAAAGACCAGCACACCTTCTATCAACAACTTTATTTCCAGCTGTTTTCCACAGGAAACTAGCCTGCGAAGCAGACCACACCAGTGTACTGCCTAGTACAAGGTAAACTAGGCAACTATCTTACCAAGTGTTGCCCGAGCATGAGTAGTTTAATGCCATCCCTGAACACACCAAGGAAAAAAGAGACAACAGCCTCCAACACAAAGCCAGCACCCAGGTGAGTGATTCCAAACCAACCCCCCTAATACACAGAGTCAGAGGAAAGGACGGAGAAGACAGTAAAAGAGGAGGAATGGAAATAGCTTCATTGAACCGAATCAACTGACATCTTTGATAAACTGTAAAGCTGATTCCCTTTTCAGTAGAGAGATCTTAACAAGGTAAAGTTCCCATATTAAGTGATGTCCACATAAATCCTGAAACTACTAGAATCTCTCGGAACAGTAACATTAACAGAACCTCAAAGCCTCTTTCAGCAAGGAAATCTCTTTCGACGCCTCCTTCCTCCCCAGCCAAATAGTAGTCGAGCAGGATGGTTTTCTACCCCGTAAAATACATTAGAATAACCTACATATCTACTGGACCAGAAACGGTTTCTACAACTTATGTGTTTAGCTCTGTTCCAAGTCCCAGAAATCAAAATTAACTTTCCCATGAGGATCACCCGAGCTGTGATCTTCACTGCACCCTTTGTTAAAGAGGCTGAGAACAGGGGGAAGAAAGCTACTCACCATTTGATTGCTATACCAGTACAGAGACGACCCCTTCAGCACCACCCAGAACTTTTTCCATTTGTTGCTTAGGAAACTTCCCTTTTCCTTTTTCTTATACAGCCATCCTTGGCAGTCAGCGTGTCCCAGATCTTTACATGATATCCTCCTCCGACTCATCCTGAAAAGACCTGCAACAATTACATGAAGAGGTAGTTAAGGTATTAAACTGATTTATGTGACACATTGAAAGGCAACTCCTAATTGTTTACCTCCTGGGAGTTGAGTTTTCCACTAAGATTTATGTAAACTTACTGAAAAAGGGGGGGGGAGCATGTGTCTGTCTTATTTTTAAAAATTCACCTGATGCTTAGAAGGTTTAAGATATGGCCAAAGAAACAGTGAGACTAATATGCAAGTATTAGTCTAAGAATATCATTCACCAAGAATAAGTTGAACAAATTAAAATCATGAGGCTGGCAAGCACATCATTGCAGTTACCCAGCTCCTTTCAAGAATAATAGCAGTAGTTACACGAGAGACGTTAAGGGGTTAATGCCCACCTAAAAGCACAGCTACTTCCCGACTCAGAGCCGGCTTTTCTAAGCTCTATTGACATACCACGAGGGATTAATCCAAATGAACAGCATGTCGTCATTTCTTCAGATCGATTCAAAAATAGCCAAAATTAATCTGTCCTCCACCTCCTCATATTAGCGGTAAAACAGACAAAAATCTGATCCCAAGGAAGGCATCCACGAGAAAATCCACACTCACACGAGCAAGGGGATAAAGAAACAAAAGAGATCTAATTACCTTGAGTTTTCTTCCTCGGCTTCTGACGCAAGGGAACCTGCTGAAAATGCAGGAAGGAAAGAAAAGAGGAAATTTCTGATTGTGTTGTAACATTTGTAAAGAGAGAAGGAGGGAGGAGGTGGCAGTGTTTATGAGCAGGATGGAATCTAAAAAAAACTCTCCAGGCAGAGCTAACGGGGAGCTTAGAGCTGAGGCACAAAATGTGCTAATTAGAATCGATATACATTGAGCTGAGCTGAACCTGAAAAAAAAAAAAAAAGTCACAGAGCATTTATCACTAATGTTTCCTGTTCCCACCCACAGGCTGCTCTCTCACTACCACTTTGGTTATGATAGCACGCTGTTCACGGAAGTTTTTAAGAAATCATAAAATAGTTCCCCTTTTATAGTTTGGTGAGAGGAGGAAAAATACATCCTGCTTCTATTCTTGCAATTTCTAAATAATGATGATCATTTAAATAAACCTCAAAGATAAGTATTACCATCTCAAATATTACAGGTTCATTTGGGACTATTAAATACACGGTCCTGCTACCACATAGGGTTACACCTAAACCACATGAATTAAATATCCCAGAAGAAGAAATTCCACAACCTCTTTTAGTGACATCTCCATAACTGTGGATCCTCCTCATCAGGAAATTCTTATTTATAGCCAAATTTAAATTTTTATTCTGTTTTTTAGTATCTCTGATAATTTCTTACATATTTTATGGAAGATAAATTAGTTACCACCTACTATTTTGTACTGGCTTTTCAAATATTCAAGTCAGACATAAGACAATATATCTGAAATACACATTTTATTCACAATACATTTTAAACAAATGTAAAAGAGGAGATTATCAGCAAAAATAGAAAACAAAAAAATGCTTTCAAATGACTGTGTGTGTGTGTGTATGTGTGTGTGTGTGTGTGTGTGTGTGTGAGAGAGAGAGAGAGAGAGAGAATTTTGGCTGAAAGACGTTTCCTTTTTCCTCTATATGTAAGCTGAATTTATTCATGTTTAAATGACAATCTTTTATGTTAACATGTAGAGAATTCAGAAAAAAATAGTATACAATTGAAAAGCAGTTCTTAAAGTTGGTGTGTAATCTTATAACAGCATCTTATAAGTTATTCTAGATGTGCCTGGCTTGTATTCTACATATCTAATTATTGATCTAATGGCTATTGTATATGGTTCTGTTATATGTTTGAAGAGGGAATATGATATGGTGGAAATAGGATTTTTAAATCCAGAGGCCCAGAATCAATTCATGGCTGTCATAATTAGTAGCTGTGTTACCCAAGAAGTCAATCTCTGAATCTGCTTCCTCATTTATAAAATTAAAACATTTATAATAATTCTAATTCTATAGGTCTCATAAAGATTTGGCAAGATTTATTTGTGAAAATGCACTGAGAACTAAACAACATTACCTTATATGATATGTAATACATCATTGATATAAATAAGTACTTCATATCTAATAAATGAAAAAATTCATAATAATTTTTTATGATAAGCATGACATGTGTTTTCTTCAGCAATGATAATGAAGCCAAAGTGCTTAAATTATATTTCCTGGAGAATATAGATCCTGGGAAATATTGCACTTTTTATTTTTGAATGTTAGAATAAAACTTTATCCTCAAAGAAATTAATCATCCCTAAAGACAAAGGGAATAATTGCCCTGAGTTTTAAGCAAAGCTAAACATGTGACAATCATGGCATGTTACTGAAATCCAGGCAAGTTATCATGGAAAGGCCCTAATCTCTGCCCCTCTTTACAAATATCTCCACACTAATCTGCCTCTTGGTTGAAAATTCCTACCATTCTCGTAAATCATTTCCTGAGGTCTTTTTGATGTGCCAATATCTGAAATCAATAAAATCCAACTAGTACGTATTGGCCAAGTATTTTTGCCCAAATACATATGATATTTGAGTAGCTAAAACTTAGCTGAGTGAGAGCCAGGACTAAAAGCAAAGAAGCGAGTAAGTGACATTAGATGGTGGGTAAAATTTGGGAAATCTGCAGTCCAGGAGTCCCCAGAGAGTACTTAATACAAACTAACAGGCAGGAGTAGGAAGAAAAGGGAATTGCAGACAGTCATTACTAGAGTGCTCAGGCCCCAGACGAACAAGATGAAATTACATTAGTTCAAACAAAAAGGGCAGCTTTTAAAAGAACAAGCGAGAGTAAGGTCCCTGGAGGACAGCTTCAAGCTCTGCAAAGGCAGCAGGAGGCAGCGTTCATGCCAACACTCAGACTGGGTACTGCGAGTCCGTCTCCTCCACCCAATCCCTATGAGCTCCCAGTGGGACCGGGACCTTCCGGCTTCATCATCAAACTCCATGGCTGCTTCCAGGGAAAGCCCCAAATCAAAATGTGAGCTTTGTCTCAATTTCTCCTAAGACCAGCCCTTGGTCTATTCTAGGTTCTTGTGCATAGGATGGGATGAGAAAGACAATACCTCAAACAAAGTGAGCAGCACCCAAATCAAAGAAAGTTCTTTTTTTATTTTCTTAAGGAGGGAGAGGAGCTTAGTCATTGAGTTAACCCTGCTTTGATAGTACTTCTCCTAAAGCAAATTATTAACTGTTAAAATTGTTTCCCTTGGCCAGAAACAGACCGCATATTACAGAAATAACAAATTCAGGCAGTCTCTGTTTCACTTGATATGTACTTGCATTTGAAACCTAAATTGGTTTATATGAGAGAATGAAAACACTCTTTGAGAACTTCATTGCGTCTGAGGTACATTTTACTCCTCACAACAGGAAGTGGAACCGGAGAACTAGTCAGTTTCAAAAAGATCTTATGTGTGGTTTTTTTAGCTAGGTAAATGAAAAAAAAAAAAAAAAAGCAAGCAACCAGTTGAGCTTTTTATGAGACAGTTTTTCAATAAAGGAATTATAACTCCTTATCATCATAAATATTCAGAGCCCAATAAGATATTTTCTCGTACTCTTTTCTTCCAGTTTGGATGTTGTAGGTAAAATTGAAGAATTATTCTAAACATCTGCACTTGCCCTAACTTGGTTCCAAAATTTGGGTGAAATTTTTCTTTGAAAATATATATGTCTTCTTTGTTGAAGAAGTATATTTTTCTTTTACTTTTTTTAAAGATGGTTTCAAAACTTCAGTTGGCCAGTAATCACTCAAAAACACACAAAAATATACAAAGGAAGCTACTTTGATGTTGAACCGACTAACACCCAGATTACAGGTAACTATTATATTGCCTTATAATCCATACAGTAGTTGTTAAATCTTGCAGGCACCATTTACCCCTTGATGTATGAGAATTCACAGGAAGACAGTTTGTTATTACATCAAACCTCATAGCAATTCTGACCTTTAGCAAAGACTATATAGTGACATGCTGGTATATAGTCTCTCTGGTTGCAAGAGCCCTGATTTGTATTAATAGTATTTGCCAATTTCTAAGTTTTCACATCATTGACAATGTCAAGCTACCAATATTTTAACAACCAAGCCACAGAAATTCCTGACTATTTTAGAGCCAGGCCAAATTGGGATAGAACTGACAGAACTGTTAGGGCTGTTTCTGCACAAACATCTTTCCTCCTTCCTGCAAAACTAAGCTCAATTTTTAAAGGGAATTATAAAGCTTTTAATTAATAAAATTTTACCTGCGAAAACACATGAAAAACTTGCTTAATTTTTCTGAAGACTAACCACCTTAAATATCACTTAATCAATTAATATGAAATTAAAATCTCTAGTAGTGAATAATGGAGACAGATAATAAACAATCTAATAATAATAGATGCATAGATGCAGTAATTAAAGCCGTGACAGCTAAGAAATCTGTATAAAGCTTTTACTCACATCATGTTGACCATGTGCCAGGTGCGGCTCTGAGTCCTTTCACAGACACCCATATTGAGTCTCACTTGAGCCACCCTTCTGGCTTAAGTACTATTATTATACCCATTTTAAAGAAGTGGAAACCAAAGCAAATGGAGCTTCAGTATTTTGCCCAAAGTCACGAAACCAAAATGCAAATAGGTATTTCAAGAATAAAATCCACAGAGTAGTAGACTGTGAAGGTATTTGCTGCTGTCATGTGAAGGAGTAGGGCAGGTGGGCAAGGACCGGAGTGGAAGGGAAGTTGGACAGCATGGCACTTTCTGCCTAGAAAAGAAACAGAAGAAGAAATTAAAAATGGAGAACTAGGTAGAAGTGAAGGAAGGAAAAGAAAGGAGAAAAGGAGCTGAAGGAAAGAAGCAAGAGAAGAGGAGACGAGGAGGGTGAAGACAGAATGTAGGAAATTGGGAAGATCAAAGTGCCAGGGAAAATCCCAGCGTTTCTAGCTTAAACAACTGAATAAATGACAGCAATGTAGAGAACACAGTTGGAAAAATATGTATATTGGCTCAGTACTAAACATATTTACACTGATAGACATGTGAGGCATCTAAGTGGAAATAGTCGTTACATTGTAGTATTTAAGGGTTTAGGGATTTGGAGAAAAATCTAGAACAAAGATACAACAATGTTACTAATTAATGTATAAATAGTAGAAGTCTGGAATTTGAACAAGATCATCTGAAGAATGAATAGAATAACAAAGACTCAACATCAGAATTGAAAGAAAGAACAACATATCTCAGCGAAGCAACAGAAACCTAGTGAGGACACTGTGCAGTTACAACCGCCAAAAAAAATAAAGAAACCCAGGAGAGGAAGAGACCCACGAGAAAGGTAGATTCAAACCTTTAAACACAGTCAGTGTGACAGAAAAAGGAAAGAGTGATTAGAGATTTGGCAAAAACAAGTTTCATTGTTGTTTGGGGCTAGAAGACCATTCTGAGAGGGGTGGGGATGAATGAGAACAGAAGAAATAAAGACAGCATTGCAGACTACTCACTCTTTCAAGAATCTTTCCTGAAAAGAGGAGTCATGACAGTGACAGGAGGGCATGTGCCAAAGGACAGCAATTGCCACCTGCCTCCTTCAAAACCAAGCTTCTGTGCTTAAACTCTCCATTGTAGTAAGATACAGATGCATACTTAGAAAGCAGTTCAACAATACCGAAACAAAACTCTCAACTGTGTTCATATTCTGACTCATTAATTATACATTTCTTTCTTCCTCTTTTTTCTTTTTGACTTTATTTTTGAGGGAATAAAATATACAGTTGTATGTCTGTGTACCCTTCCTTTTTCCATTTCTCTCTCACCCTCCCCAGGTTACCTGAATGTAATGTTCATCATTCCCTTGCATTTACTCTCTATAAACAATATTTGAACAAAACTATAAAGAATAGCATTAATATAGACATTTAGATTTTTTTGATAGGTTAAATTAAGTTTTATTTGTTCTCCTTCATTTTACAATAATCTCTCCAAATTGTCTTTTACAAAAGAGCATATACAGGGTGTGCGTGATACAAAATTATTAGTTGTGTTTTCTACACAAGTTGGAAATGATCAGTGTATTGTATGAGAATTCTCCTAATAGGAAACCAAATTTTTTTAAAAGTCATTCTAAATTTACTAAGTAGAGAAATTCTGCAGTAATCATTCACCTCTACATTCACACTCTAGGTGTTTTCTCATGGTCAACAAACTGGCTGAAGTGATTTAAGTTATCCCGCCAATTAAAGAGAAAAGGCTCTACAATAATTTTAAACCATGATGTCATGTTAATTTCACCATTAATTGCTTTTTTCAGAGGTTCTTCTAGCTCTTCCTTTGACATATAAAAATAGCTTTTAACCTCATTGGGATCCAGTTTCCACATCACATTCTTCTTCACAAACAGAATGTAATCGATTTCACGTTCACCCCAGATCCCATCAGACTGGGCCTTGTAGTAAATTCGTGTCAAATAATTAATTTCTTCTGCAGGAAGCTCTTCCAGGGAAATTTTAGACCTCTGTGCTGCTCCCCATATTCCAAGGGCATCCTTTTCCTCAAGGTCGCCTGCATTACTTAACCAATGGCTGCAATGCATATTAGTAAAACAATCTGGAAAGGTAATCTTAGCATCCAACCTCTGCTGTAGCAGGGGTTTGTTTTCCGGGTTGAATAAGAAGACACTAAAAGCCCATTGCAATAATCCTTTCTTAATGTTTTCGTTCAGTTGACAATTCTTCTTGGTCTCAGCCCCAATTTTATTGTCATTTTCATCAATAAGGATACACATCTCTGCCAAGAGTTGAACCTGTTGCTTATCCAGATGGTTGGTATTTATCTCAGGCCATTGTTACAAAATGTCTGATCTGCCCTAGAACACTGAGCAGACTCTGGGCCCAGACACCAGCCCGATTTGGCACAGTGACATTTAGTTTTTGATACTGTGCTTTTGTAATTTTTTTCCATGTTGATATATGTTGTTCTAGTTCATAGTCAAAGCTGTATAGTACTGCAGTGAGTAAAACATGCCACAGTTTCTCTCTTCATCTATTGATGTATATTTAAGTTCTTTACAATTTGACACTATCAATAATATTACAGTTAATAATTTTGTATAACTTCCATTGTGCATATATATAGCTAGCTGTCAGGGCTAAGTATTTATCTGCAATATATAAAATTTTTAGTCCTCTACAGCCAGGAATGCATTTTGGTTTCCCATCTCAGAATTTCAGAAATCGCTCCCTATATCTCTGTCTCCCTGTTTCTTTCTTTATTTTTTCTCTTTCATTAATTTCTGCTCTTAATTTATTATCCTTTTTTCTTTAAATTTCTTTGATTTTACTCTGTTATTCTTTTTCTAATTCCTAAAACTGATGTTTACCTCATTCATTTATATTTGTTTTTAATCACCATTAAAAAGTGGGTAAAAGGCATGGACAGGTATTTTTCAAAAAAAGAGAAACAAATGGCCAAAAAGCATATGAAAGCTCAACATCACTAGTCATCAGAGAAATGCAAACTAAAACCACAATGAGATGCCACCCTCCCCCTGTCAGAATGGCCATTATTAAAAACTCAAAAAACAATAGATGCTGATGTGATGCCATGAAAAGGGAACACTTATATACTGTTGAGGGAGGGATGTAAATTAGTACAACCTCTGTGGAAAACTGTATGGAGATTTTTCAAAAAACTAAAAGTAGATCTACCATTTGATCTAGCAATTATGCTATTAAGAATCTACCCAAAGAAAAAGAAATCATTTTTATAAAAAGACACCTGAACCCAAATGTTTATTGCAGCATAATTCACAACTGCAAATATATAAAACCAACCAAAGTGCCCACCAACTGATGAGTAAGTAAATAAAGAAAATGTGGCATATATATATATAATATATATATATATATATACACATATGTATATATATATATATACACACACACACACACACACCATGGAGTATTACTCAGCCATTAAAAAAAATGATATAATGTCTTTTGCAGCAACTTGGATGGAACTGGAAGCCATTATCCTAACTGATGTAACCCAGGAACAAAAAAACACAAATACCATGTTATCATGTGTAAGTGGGAGCTAAGCAACAGATATGCATGGTCATACAGAGTGACATGATAGACACTGGAGACTCAGAAGGGGAAGGATAGGAGGGAGTACAGAATGAAAAATTACGTGTTGGGTTCAAGGTACACCATTCAGGTATATTAAAAGCCTAGACTTCTTCACTATGCAGTTCATCTGTGTAACAAAAAAAATGTGTACCCTGCCCTAAATCTATTTAAATAAATAAATAAAAGATACATCACAAAACAAAAATACATGTAGAGTTATAAATGCACCTCTGAATTTCTACTTTACTTATATTTTCCTAATTTTCCATTCTAAATCATTTCTTTATACCCAATAAGATATTCTAGTGTATATTTGTAGGTTTTTTAACATATGTGAATTCTTACTAATTTTTTCTTTTTGATTTCTAAATTCATTGCATTTTGGTAAAAAAACATGATCTTTACGATATCAATTTTCTTGAAATTTTTAGCATTTATTTGTAACATTACATAATCAAATTTTACGAACATTCTATGTAAGACTAAATCAAAATTGTTCATTTTGCTTTTCAAATCTTTTATATCACTCTTTCATTTTTGTTGCTGAAATTAAAGCTTTGTTAGTATTTCCATCCTTTTATTTTCAATCTTTTTGTGTGGTTGGTTGGTTGATATGTTTTCTTCCTTTTCTTCCATGTCATTTCTCTGATGATTAATTTAGTATTTCTAAATCTGTCATGCATATAACATATAACTCAGGACATTTTTTTTTTTTTAACTCAGGACATTTTAACTCCTGCTTGAATGCCTATTCTCTTGTTATTGCGCCTAGATGTTTATTTTCCATTTAAAAAGGTTAGTATTATATTCATCAATAATAAATGTATTATTATTAAATTGTTATTTGTCAACCAGAAATCATAAGTTTATCAATTTCTATGCTTGCCTTTGTTTCATTTTATCACATATCATCCCATGAGAAGCACTTTTCTGTTTAGTAGAGTACCTCTTTGAATAATCCTTTTAACAAAAGTCTGTAGGTAGTAAATTCTCCATCTCTATGTGTATCGTAATGCCTTTATTTTGCCCTCAAAAGTGAATGGTACTTGAGGTGAGGGATAAAAATATTTTCACCTGGCACTTTGAATATTTTGATCATTTGTCTTCTAGCAACTATTGTTAAGGATGAGATTCCTGCTATCAGTTTGTCATTCACTGTATGTATTTTTTCCTTTTACTCTTTTAAGACATTCTAATGATTCTTGATTTTCTGTGATTTTATCACAGTATGTCTATTTATAAACTTATTTTTATTTATACTGCTCGATCCTCAGAATGAATTTTTTATTTGATACCTTACAACTTTTTACAAGCATGGAAAATTAACAGAGATCTTCAAATAGTGCTTTTCTGCCATTTTCTCATTCTCTCCTTTTGGGACTATTATTACATATATATTGGAGATGAGTGATTTTTCTTCCATGTCTTAGCTCCTTTTTCTTAATTTTGAATCTCTTTACATCTCTATGCCATTTGTGTCTTGTATAAATTTTTTAGATCTGCTTCCAAGTTACTAATATTTTTTAAAAGCGCCCAAAGTAGAGTTTATGTCATTTATTGAGCTTCCTATTTCAAGGAATATATTCTCATTTCTAATATTTCTACATTTTTTTTCAAAACCCACTTATACTTTATTACTTGTTCCTAATTTTCTTCCCCAAATTGTTAAAAGATTCTTTGAACCTCATGCTTAAATTTTTAGTCAGGGTTTTAAAAAATTATTTAATTTAAAATGAAGTTATCTTCTCATTTTTAATTCTATAGCCTGTCTTTTTCAGCATTATTATTTTGAACATGTTTTAGGATTTTTTTTTTTTTGTAGTCAATTTGGACTACTATAATGGAATACCATGGACTGGGCAGCTTTAACAACAAATATTTATTTTGGACAGTTTTGGAGGCTGGGGAGTCTAAAATCTAGATGTGGGCAAGTCCAGTGTCTGATGAGAGCCCTCTTCCTGGTCTGTAGAAGGCCATTTTCTCATCGTATCCTCACATTGCAGGGAAGAAAATTATATCTCTGTGGTCTCTTCTTATAAGGGCATGAATCCCATTCATGAGGGCTTCATCCTCCTCACCTTATAACCTCCCAAAGACCCCACCTTTGAATATCATCACTTTGGGGATTAGGGATTCAACATATGAATTTGGGGAGTAGTACAAAAACATTCAGTTCATAACAGAACTTAAATTTGCAGAATTGTAAATACAAAGGTTTTATGTCTGCTCTTTGTCTCTCTCTCTCTCTCTTTCTCTGTATAAGGGAGGGTGTGTCCGTCACTCTGTCTCTCTCTTTCCCTCTGTGTTTATGGCTCCCTCTGTTGTGATTGTGATTACCACCACCTAATGTAGAACTAGTCCGACAATCATGTCCTTACTTAATTGTACAGAATCTTGTATAGCCAGGCCCAGACTTATGATGGTTCAACATACAACGATTTTACAATAGTGCAAAAGCCATATGCATTCAGTAGAAACCATACTTTGAATTTTGAATTTTGATCTTTTCCTGGGCTAGCAATATGCAGTGTGATACTCTTGCATGAGATATTCAACACTTTATTTTAAAATAGGATTTGTGTTATGTGATTTCGTCCAACGGTCGGCTAATGTAAGTGTTCTGAGCATATTGAAGGTAGGCCAGGCTGAGCTATGATATTCAGTAGGTTAGATGTATTAAACACATTTTTGACTTACAGTATTTTCAACTTATGACAGGTTTATCAGAATATAACGCCACTGTAAGTCAAGGAGCAACTGTATATCCAGTCACGGGTCCAGCTGGTGACTGCGTTAGCTCCTGGTTTGGAGCCTGTGTCTGAATTTCTTCCTTCCGAGGCCCACAGTTTGCTAAATGTGCAACCTCAGGCAGTGGTTTGGCAACTGTCTTCTTTTTATATTCAGGCCTTTTCACAACTGGGGAAGCCCCATTAACCACTGTCATCAAGGAGTAGCTCTCCCCACATTTAGTGGAGCATTTTTTACCCCCAACCCCTTAACCTGTGGCAGGAGTCAACCTACTCCCTGATTCCAGATGAGGTGCATTGGGCCCTTGGCTTCAGTCAATCTACTGCTGTTCATTTCTGACCCACAGATATGATTACCATGTTTCTGAGACTATCCCTTTTTGGTTTTCTGTTTCTCTTTGTCTATCACTACTGTATGTTTGAAAAAGAATGGACTGTCTAAGTGTGAACTCACTCATCCATGGACAGAAGTCAGTCATTTCATCTATAAGATTCCATCTAAAAATCACAATGCAAATGATAAGCTAATCCCTTCCTATATTGGCCTCAATATACCACCAAAACTTATCTATTTCTTATTTCCTCAATATCTTCTCTATTCTGCAGAAATATCAGGGACTTTAACATCTCCATACTTTTGAATTCTTTATTTCCTTCCCCTATTCTTCACCTGATGAACAGTTACTCAGCCCTCGACTCCCAGGTCAAATGCCACCTCCACCTTAAGCCTTCTCTGACTTTAGAAAGCAATTGGTTCTTATAACGAGCTCATATTCACCCAGTTTTTTCCATGTATAGTCACTATAATAACTGGTTTATGTTGTCTGCAGAGATCTTCATGGTAGGTCCTATTTTTATCCTCCTTTTCACAGATGAGGAACAGCAGCTTGGTATGGTTAAGTAACTCCTCCACAGATCACGCATAACTAAGCAGCAGAGCTGGGATGGGACCCAGGCCAGCCAGACTTCTAAACCTATTGTTTAATTACATGTTCCTCTGATGTTCTGTCCTCTGTATTCCCACCATGCTTTGCTGGTGTCTCTGAAATAGTTATTATCATCTGTTTATC